ATCAATTAAGCTCTCGCCCGGCGGGAGACGGGCTTATGCGCTAGTAATTCTATATTAGAAACATGGTGGATTACTTTTAAACAAGAGTGAGGTGAAGGAAGCCCATGACGCATACGTCATTGGATTTGGTGAATTTAACTCCAAGATGGACAAGTTTTTGCACACTCATCAACACGACATTTACCTCCCAACTTTTATCTTTGCGTCAGTGGAGTCCGAATCCCTCTGCTACTTTGACGAACATGTCCTCATTACACGTTCAAACTGGATAAGAGGAGGTCAGGAATCTCGGACGAATTACATTCATTATAAAAAATATTTTTACATTCCTTTGCGCTCTTCATCATAGGTGGAATGCCCTACTTGGACACCATGTTGGATCCGGTGACTGGAGGCAGGATCCCAGCAGGGGCGCAACGGACTGAATTGATTGGAAGCAAATCCACCCAGACGGAGGTAAAAGAAAAAATATACGTAGAATGCAGAAATATATACGTGTACATGAAAATTTGTCAAGTGCAGATTGTCGAACCTACTCCAATCCCCAAAACGACATCCATGGAGACCACAATGGATTCCAATATTGGTGTTGCGGAGATTGCAGTAAATACATCATCTGATGATCCATTGGTACCATTCCTATATACAAAATTTAAAAAATGGCCTACCAATGCTAAATCTCTACTAAATATCGATCAAAACCTTAATTATTATCAAGGAAAATAGAAGCCATGCAGATTTCAGAGTGAGTACTCCTTTGCTCGAGATAAAGGACAATAGTACGCAAACCGAGGTACCAAATCCATATATGTGTAGTGGAATATGAATATGTAAAGTCATCAATTCCAGGTTACTGGGGTACTCGAGGCTGCAGCGGATAACCAAGTTGGACTAAATGATCTGGTATGTTTCACTCACATCTAGACTTTAACCTAACCAAATATTTCTCTCACAATGCACTTATTTTCTAGAGAAATGGAGCTTATGAAACCTGGCTGGCTACTAATCTTCCCGTCGAGATGAGTAGGAATGACGGATTTAAGACGGCGAGCGTTGCTGCATTTCACGTCGGATTTGACCTCGTATTCAATGGTTAGAAGTCGACTACAACCACAATATATAATTACGGATGTTAACAAAAATTTATTGTAGTAAAGAATTATTGCATCCTCAAGTGGTGTGAAGCAGTAAAGGAACAGCAAATTACAATCGTGAATGAATCAATAACGGACAACGTCTTGACCACACTCATGCAGGTATATAGGTTTGTCTTTTTCAATTATTCACCGTTAAACAGAAAATTACTCCTTGGTCGCAGTATAACCGCATCAAGGCTTACACTACAACTGACAGGAAAGCTCGACTACGACGATTCTTAGAGTCTAAAGAGGCTTTGGACATTCTCGTGGACTTTTTGACCTATTTTGGACCATTGTACCCTTTCAAGGAAACTTTTCAAATAATGTTTAAGCACGCTGATGAGAAACATAGCGATTAAGCATCCCTCTTAGTAACTAATTTTGACATGTGTAAACAGTTTTATACTTCCGTTCTCCTTCTCTTGTTACTAGAAACATCAAATCCCAGCTATTGTTTATGGTTTGTTTATGTATATATATTCTATCAATTTTTATTGTTATCATATTTACAGACACTTTTGCAAACTCTGTTATAGGATAGTTTGGACCACTTTAAGAATACATTTCAATGATAAGTGTGCATGATTTATACTATTGATTATCGAATCATAACTCTGCATCTGGCATCAAATGGAGATCACTCATAACCTTGTACCTACTAAATCGTTCAGCATATTATCGTACTAGCGTATAAGCCCGTCTCCCGCCGGGCGAGAGATGATTAGATTATCAAAATTTCACCAGTTAAATATTTTGTATATATTTATTTTAAAAAAACAATTTGACGCGAACGGAAGTGAAAGCAATTTGCAACGCAAGTTAAAGTGGACAATTAAATGTCACCCACTTGGCTCTGTCATCTCTGCCATCCCAGTCTGTCATATCTACCAGCCTAGTCTGGCATTGGCAATGACAGTGCCACTGACAGTTTGTCTGGCACTCACTTGGCTCTGCCATCTTTACCAGCCTAGTCCGCCATTGGCAATGATCTGCATTGGCAACCACACCCAAACGACAATCCATCAAATAACTACTCCTAGATAACCACCGTGAGGCAGCCACAGCCTGATAACCACCAGCAGGCCGCCACACCCCGATAACCACCATGCAGCAGACATACCCCGATAACCAATTTCAATCTTGTTTAGTGCAAACATGTGCACACTAAACACAAACAGTTCACGGCATGAGGCGACGATCTTGTTTAGTGCAAACATGTGCACACTAAACACAAACAGTCCATGACATGAACGTTCGAATCGAATCTTGTTACCTAACTGCCCCTCCTATCTGGGGGTACAGCCACCCACCCCCAGATAACCACCACCCCCAGATAACCGCCATCCCTAGATAACCGCCATCCCTAGATAACCACACACCCCCAGATAACCACCCACCCCCAGATAACCACCACCCCCAGATAACCATCGCCCCAAATAACCTCCACTCTCAGATAACCGCCCACAAAGAGTACCACACGTTCTGGCATTTAATTTTTTGAATTTAATTTATTTTGAATTTTCGCGCCATTCGAAACTTAACTTTCTCCACTTTCACTTCCGTTCCGGAAAATTATTTTCACCTCCGTTGCCAACAAACATTTCCAGCTAATAATATAGATCACTTCCGTTCCGGAAAATTATTTTCACCTCCGTTGCCAACAAACATTTCCAGCTAATAATATAGCTAGCAACCACCAAGCATAACAGATTGGCATGTCTTTTCAAACCAAACCTGATAGTTGGAAATCGCATTGTCTTTTTGTTGAAACCACAATGAAGCCTTTCTTGACTACTATTGGACCATTAGAACATGAAAAACATGTAGTGACTGTTGTATGCGCCCACTTTCATTATGCAAAAATCTTCGTTGCCTCCTCCATGGAACCACAATACTAGAATTTGTCCTCCACGGACCCATGGAATAGCAATCCTTATGGAACGCGGAATACCCAGTCGTTTCTTCCCTGGCCCCAGTGCCAGGGAAGAAAATACCCAAAAGAATGGTGCACTTAGCACTAAGAATGCAACACTATGATTGGTTCACGCACAACCATAACCATCACCCTGCGAAAAAGACACCGAGCAGGGAAGAGAGATTCATCACAGTGGTGGTGGTGGCGGTGGTAGTGGTAGAAAGTCGTGTGAAGGCAAGTCCGCGATATATACAAGATCGCTCATATATGCCACGGACAATGAATAAATCCGTTGTCCTTTCCATGAAACCATCACCCGAGAGGTTGTCCACCAGGGACTATGAAAACATGAGGTGTTTCATGGCCTGTCCACCACGGACCATGAAAATAAAAGCTGTTTCATGGCCTGTCCACCACGGACCATGAAAATAAAAGCTGTTTCATGGCCTGTCCACCACGGACCATGAAAATAAAAGCTGTTTCATGGCCTGTCCACCACGGACCATGAAAATAAAAGCTGTTTCATGGCCTGTCCACCACGGACAATGAAAATAAAAGCTGTTTCATGGCCTGTCCACCACGGACCATGAAAATAAAAGCTGTTTCATGGCCTGTCCACCACGGACCATGAAAATAAAAGCTGTTTCATGGCCTGTCCACCACGGACCATGAAAATAAAAGCTGTTTCATGGCCTGTCCACCACGGACCATGAAAATAAAAGCTGTTTCATGGCCTGTCCACCACGGACCATGAAAATAAAAGCTGTTTCATGGCCTGTCCACCACGGACCATGAAAATAAAAGCTGTTTCATGGCCTGTCCACCACGGACCATGAAAATAAAAGCTGTTTCATGGCCTGTCCACCACGGACCATGAAAATAAAAGCTGTTTCATGGCCTGTCCACCACGGACCATGAAAATAAAAGCTGTTTCATGGCCTGTGTCCACCACGGACCATGAAAATAAAAGCTGTTTCATGGCCTGTCCACCACGGACCATGAAAATAAAAGCTGTTTCATGGCCTGTCCACCACGGACCATGAAAATAAAAGCTGTTTCATGGCCTGTCCACCACGGACCATGAAAATAAAAGCTGTTTCATGGCCTGTCCACCACGGACCATGAAAATAAAAGCTGTTTCATGGCCTGTCCACCACGGACCATGAAAATAAAAGCTGTTTCATGGCCTGTCCACCACGGACCATGAAAATAAAAGCTGTTTCATGGCCTGTCCACCACGGACCATGAAAAAGTCTTTGTTGCCTTTTCATGAAACCACTACCCGAGAGCGTGTCCACCGTGGACCATGAATCCTACTTTGGAAAAATAAGGGATTTCAAAACTTTTCTCTAAACCTAACCTTACACAAAAGTAAGACACACCCTAAAAAATACTCTAAACCTAACCTAACATAACCTAACCTAACCTAACCTAACCTAACCTACCAATAAACTAGCCAAATTAATTACAACCCAAACCCCCCAGCCCGAAATATAAACCCTAACCCTAACCTAACCAATTTTTTCCAAACTACATCAAAATTAACCAAACCAAACCCTCTAGATTCCCCCTTTCTAACACAACTAGGACACGCTTTCACCAAATTTCTAGGACACATTTTCCCCATTTTCTTAATCTAACCTAACCTTCGCTCGCTTAATTTACATCAATATCCCATTACACCACATGTTGTCACAGCTATATTAAATCTTTTAACCCTTACCTAGAGTCTAAAACCCACAAAATCACGCATACCATATATTTTACACGAAAAACCCAAAAAAAACCCAACCTAAAACAACCAATTTCCATCCCTTCACCCACCTTCCCACCCCAACCTAACCTTACACAAAAGTAAGACACACCCTAAAAAATACTCTAAACCTAACCTAACATAACCTAACCTAACCTAACCTAATCCCCCCAAGAACGAGTTAGATTTCATTATGCAATTTTTGAAGAAAGAAGTAGAATTTGAGGATCAGAGAGCTCTTGTCCAGTCTGGATTCTCTACTCTACACGTTAATAAGAAAAAGAAGGATTGCCACAACAAGCTCTCCAACCAAGAAGATATTCCGACTGGGGCTGGCCTATTTGTAGGTCAAGGTGCATCGTGTGTATTCTGCGGAAAAAGTAATCATCGGAGCACCGAGTGCTATCGAGCAGAGAAGAATCTGTCTTGGAGTGAAAAGAGTGACATTTTGAAGAAAAATAGATTGTGCTTCAGGTGCATGCTTGGTGGACATCGATCAAAGGATTGCAAAGTAAAATTAAAGTGTAATTTTTGTGAAGAATCTCATGTTAGATCGATGTGTCCCACTCTACCAATTAATCAAAAGAAAATTGAACGGAGAAATGAAGTGTGCCATCCAAACCAGAATCAAGCCACGGTTCCAGTCACCAGCGCCCAAAATGCCAATCATACGTGTCGTACAGATGTTTTAATGAAAACTTTGGTAGTTCGAGTGCTTGGGCCGAAGGGGTCAAAAGTTGTTCGCCTCATATTTGATGAAGGGAGCCAGCAGTCGACCGGAGGTCAAGCCATAATCAAGAAAGTGGGCAGTGAGCTAGTTGGCGAAGAGTGGGCCAGGAACGTTCTGTTTGGTGGAACCTTAACAGCTCCAAGAAAAGTCAAAAGTTTCAATGTCAAGGTGCAAAGTCTAGATGGAAAGCACACACGTGAAATTCTTATGAGAGAAGCCCCAACTATTTGTGGTGATATTGCCAGGATTCCTGTCGGCCCATGGATGAAGGAGCTGAAAAGGAGGAAGATATGGCTCACAGATTTTGAAAATACTATAGTCGACAGTCAAGACGTTGAAATTTTAATCGGAAGTGATTACTGGGGACAATTAGTTGTTGGAAAGCCAGTATTATTAGAATGTGGGCTTGTCGCGGTGGATACCATTTTTGGCTGGACACTCAGTGGTCCTATTTATGGGGACAAGAAAAGTACAACAGCAATGATGGGAATCTCTCAAGTAATTACAGAGTCCAGTGTCCAGGATTTATGGAATCTCGAGACAATAGGAATTACTGATCCGTCTGAAAGTAAATCAAGAGAAGAATGTGAGGAAGCAGCGAGACAGCACTTCCTAAGAACTGTTTCAAAAAGTGAAAATGGAAGGTACACAGTAACAGTTCCATGGCTGGATGGAGCGCCTGAAATTCCGGGCAACAAATCGGTCGCGGAAAAACGTCTCGTCTCCACCACCAACAAATTAAGGAGTCAAGGTCAACTTGAAAATTATGACAAGATCTTTTCTGAGTGGGAGAAAGAGGGTTTCATTGACGAAGTGAAAGTGGATTCAGATTCACCATGCCACTACCTTCCCCATCGAGCGGTGATCAAGCCTGAAAGTCAGACAACACCAGTAAGACCCGTTTTCGATGCTTCATGTAAAGTTGGAAGGAGCCCTTCGCTTAACGACTGTCTTGAAAAAGGCCCCAACTTATTGGAATTAATCCCTGCAATTTTACTAAGATTCAGGAAGAAGAAAATAGGAGTTATTTCCGACGTGCGAAAAGCATTCCAGATGATCCAAGTTGCAGAAAAGGATCAAGATTATCAGCCGTTTCTGTGGTGGAAAAATATGGAAACAAAAGAAATCAAAATTTTGCGACATAAAAGAGTGGTGTTCGGAGTCAATTGCAGTCCGTTCTTGTTAGGTGCAGTTATTGAGTTTCACTTGAAGTCAGTAAGTGAAGATTTACGTCTCATAGCGCTACAACTCCTTCACTCACTCTACGTCGACAACTCTGTGACATCGGTGGATTCACACCAAGAACGTGAAGATTTTGAAAAGGCCTGTGTGATGATGATGGCGGAAGCAGGAATGGAACTCCGACAATGGGAGCATTCATCTGTCATAAAAAGAGGTCGCCAGGATTTTACTACAGTACTTGGTCTTACGTGGGATAAGGAAGCAGACGAGCTGTTTGTCGAAATCCCAAAAAACGAGCCAACCGGGAAGATGACGAAGAGACTCATCCTCTCTCAAATTCAGAAGATTTTTGACCCATTGGGGTTTGTTTGTCCAGCAACGTTGATTCCGAAGAGGTTGCTCCAGAAGACTTGGCAAGATAAGAAATCTTGGGACGAAGAACTTGAAGATTCCGTCAAGAAAGAATTTATTGACTGGTGGAAAGAAGTGTCAGTTTTAGAGAAGATTGGAATACCAAGATGGGCTTTCAATTCAGAGAATGCCAATAATGTCCAGCTTCATGTTTTCAGCGATGCCAGCAAGTTAGCCTATGCTGCTGTAATTTTTGCGAGAATTGAAGGAGAACATGGTGTTTCTATTCAACTTTTACAAGCAAAAGCAAGAATAGCCCCCTTGAAGCCGGTAACAATTCCACGACTTGAGTTATTAGGCTGCAGCATCGCGGCGAGACTGGTGACAAGTGTTATCAAGGCGTTGTCAATAGAGGGGTTACGAATCGTATGCTGGAGCGACTCGACTACAGCCCTCGCATGGATAAAGAGAAACGATCAGTGGGGAACATTTGTGGGGAACCGTGTGAAAGAGATTTGTTCCTTAACAAAAGCCGAGGAATGGAGACATGTCCCCGGGTTGATTAATCCGGCAGACCTGCCATCACGAGGATGTACTCCGAGCCAACTGTTAAGTTCCAAGTGGTGGGAAGGTCCAGGCTGGTTAAAAGGGCCAGAAGAAGAGTGGCCGTTGCAGGAAGCAAGTCCCGATGAAGAAGAAATTTTAGCGGAGAAGAAAAAGGCAGCAAAGATTGTGCTGGTTACGACCGTCTCCTCCTTGCCGTGGTACATGGAGGCGTCGCCTTCATTTCATAAGAACGTCCGAGTATTGGCATATATTATGAGAGCCATAAGGAATCGCTTCAAGAAAAATGCAGCAGTGGGTTTGCAGGAATGGGAATTGTCGGAAGCTGAAAAGTTTATTTTTATGGAAGAACAGAAAGTGTTTGAATCCAGTGTCGTTGATGGTCTCCAAGTTGAACAAGATCACGATGGACTATTGCGAGTGAAAACGAAGATTCTGAATTTACCCGATACTGATGCCTTCCGGAAACCTGTCCTCCTCCCGAAGAATAGTCTGGTTGTTGATCAGTTGATCCGAACAGAGCATCTCCGCAACAAGCACGCCGGTCTGCAGATCATGATGAGCAAACTACGAGAGAAAGTCTGGATACCACAGTCTCGTCAAGCAATAAAGAAAGTTCTGAGCCGCTGCACTGTGTGTAGGAGATTTACATCAAAGAAATGTGAAGTTCCGTGTGCTCCACTACCCGAGGCCAGGGTCAAGTTAGCCAGGGTGTTTCAAGTCATAGGAATCGACCTTGCTGGACCACTATTTCTGAAAACTGGAGAGAAGGTGTGGATGGTTTTGTACACTTGTGCTGTATACCGAGCAGTGCATTTGGAAATAGTAACCCGGTTGACGGCTGAAGAATTCTTATTGAGTCTCCATCGATTTATAAGCAGGAGAGGACGACCAAGTATTATTTATACCGACAATGGGACTAATTTTGAAGGTGCATCAAATGCGATTAATTTGTTGGACTGGGAGAGGATCCAGCAAGAAACAAAGGTCACTCGAATCGAATGGAAGTTTATTGTTCCTTCCTCTCCTTGGTGGGGAGGGTTCTGGGAAAGGCTCATCCGGTCCTGCAAAGATTTATTGAAGAGGATGTTGGGTCCGAGGAAGCTTCATTTGAAAGAGTTGGAGACATGTATGTTCGAAGTGGAGGCGGTGATAAACAGCCGACCTCTTACTTATATTTCTGAAGATAAAGACGACTTGGTGCCCCTGACCCCTGCCATGTTTCTACAGGACAACCTAGAAGTGGAATTCCCTGAAGAAATGGCTCTGAATTTAAGTAAAATGTGGTGTTTATGATTCAATGTAATAGTAATGTTTTCATGTTTGTTTCTTTTGTTTGCTCCTCTCACAAAAGAAAGTGGGAGGATATTGTAAATGATTATAGTAGTGAGTTCTGAGAAATCTCATTTTTCCCACACCACGTTTTCATGCAAAGTTCCCGCAAGAATTTGGCAAGAGAAAGTCGTCAGTTTACGCTGTTATGAGCAGAGAGTCAGTTATGTTTTTTAGCTCTCTCGCCATTTTTTGTAAAATATTAGTAAAATTGGGATTCAATTAAATAAAATCCAGTTTAAGTAAATAACCCTAGCCGATAAGTGTGCATTGGGTTTATTTTGTGTTGCCATCGGAAAGCAGACCTTATCAAAACCTCACCCACAATTCGCGAAAGCTATCAGCGGGTAGCTGATATATTCCCTTCGCAACAACATTACTGGCAGGTGACAAAATGGTATTACCACCTCGGTAGAGTCATGTAGTGTTACCGGCTATTACGGAATTTTTATCAGTGCATAATTACCAAGTTATCTAACAATTCGATAAATAGATCATGTTGATTATTGTCATGATTATAGATTTGCATAACATGATAAGCAGAATGGTTAAGTTGATGGGCCGGCGGTTTGTAATTTGGGTTGGAGGTGCTCCTTATCTCCTGATTTTAGATGCGGACGGAGCGCAGGTACATAATTAACAATTTTGCACAAAAGAAAAAGAAATATAATATTTCATGTAAACGTTTCAGAAAATCCTATCTTCCACAAAACATATAGAGAAAGGCCAAGAATATGAAAAAGTGAGATGGTTACTTGGCAATGGACTACTTACTTCAAAAGGTTATAGACGTCTGTTACTAACAATGCAGAGTTTTCTCATGTAATACTGCGATATTGATGGGACTAATTTTAATTTGTTCCTACCCAAAAATAAGCGGACCCGTATTTTTGCTTTCTTCTTAATGCGCGCATTTGAGCGCGTGGCGGGGAGTTCAAATATTTTTTTCAGCCGAAACGTCCGATTTTAAAATGGCAGTAACTTTTTGAATTTTAGCGCGAATTAAAAAAACTAAAAACATGTATGCTTAGAATTAGTTCCTTCATAATATATAAAATTTCATTTTCAAAATTTTTAGAAAATTACAATTTTTGTAGGGGTTGCTATTTTTTTTAATTCGAAATTTGGGTAAAAATTTTAATTTTCTAAAAATTTTAAAAATGAAATTTTATATTATAAATTAAGTAATTCTAAGCATACATGTTTTTAGTTTTTTTAATTCGCGCTAAAATTAAAACAGTTACTGCCATTTTAAAATCGGACGTTTTGGCTGAAAAAATATTTGAACTGCCCACCAAATACGCGCATTAAGAAAAAAGCAAAAATACGGGTCCGCTTATTTTTGGGTAGGAACAAATTAAAATTAGTCCCATCAATATCGGAGTATTACACGAGAAAACCCTGCATTGTAAGATATTTAAATTCTAACTAATTAATAATTATAATAAGTATGCAGGCCACATTTGGAAAGAAGATAGAAAAATGCTCAGTCCATCCTTTAAATATCAAAGTTTTGACGGATTTCTGGCGAATTTTAATCATCACAGTAGAATTCTAACTCAACTTTTAGCAAGGGATCAAAAGGGAAACGGAATGGGGAAGAGTGTGAATAAATATTTGTATGGAGCTACTATGGATTTCATAACGGAAGCAGCGTTTGGCCAGCAATCCAACTACCAGGTGGATGTTGATATCGGATTTTTTGAACATGTACAAATGTAAGATAAACCCATCAATTTACCCCTACGTACTTTAATTAACTTGGATGATAGTTAATTTATTCATCATTATTTTTTTATTATTATGAAAATAGTCCCTTAGAAATCTGAGAGGCTATGTGAAAGTTTGAAATCAAAAATTTTACCAAATTTGACGTACATGTAATTCTTGACAACGACAATTTGCGAAATTTAACTTTAAAGATAAATTTCCAGAGGATGTCGGACTGATATTTTTACACAGACCATAATGTTACTTGGATAAAATTGTTTTTTAATTGTCTTCTGTTTAACAAAAAAGGGCATTTGATTCCTTCCGTGTCCGTGTGATTCGACCATGGCTAAATTTTCCAATAATTTGGGACATCTTTGGATTAGGGAAGCAAGACAAAATTATAGTAAAATACTTTGACGAATTCTCATCCCAGGTAATCAATTAATAATTAAAATTATATTAAAGAGTCCTTCAATATTTTGAATAATCTATTAATATTATCTATGTTTAGTTGATTGCCAAAAGAAGGGCAATCTTACAAGAATCAGAACAAGAAATCGAGGCAATGGGCAAAACGCGACCGTTTGTTGATGCACTCATTCACACGAAATCTAACAAGGATATAACGGCCCACCTTCTTACAGTTTTTGGAGCTGTAATCAATTAAAAGGATTCATTAAATTTTTGGTAATTAATTGTAAACAAAATATTAATTTTGTAGGGTTTTGAAACAACCGCAAACGGAATGAACTTCACGCTTTTTCTACTCGCGCAAAATCCGGTATGTCAAAGAAAAGTTCATGAGGAGTTGGATGCCATCTTTGGGAACGAAAGTGGAGAAAGGGACGTTTCTTTCGCTGATTTAGCGGAGCTGACATATCTAGAAATGTGCATCAAGGAAAGTCTTCGAATCTTCCCGCCTGCACCCGTAATGATGCGCGATGCTGTGGAGGATATTGAGCTCGGTTTGTGAACCAATTAAATGCAATAAGTTTGAATTGAGAATATTTTGAAAATGTTTTTACTTGGAAAAGACAACGGGCAAGTGGTTCCAAAAGGGTGTGGGATGGTATTTATAATCCCAGAGCATCATCGGGATCCGAAATATTTTCCAAATCCGGATAAGTTTGATCCGGATCGATTTCTGCCAGAAGAATGTGTGAATAGACATCCGTACGCGTATATTCCGTTTTCTGCTGGACCACGAAATTGTATAGGTTAGTTGAGGAACTGGTTTAGAATGCTAGGGAGAAAATAATGTTCAATTGTAATCAATGGTTACCATTTGCAGGAATGAAATACGCCAAGATTCAAATGAAGACATGCCTAGCGCATATTTTAAGGAAGTTCAAAGTGACGACCCAGCAGAAATATACGAATAGAAAAATTGTATATGGAATAGTGTTGGAGACGAAGCCGAGTATTGAAATAACACTGGTACCAAGGGAATAATTAGTATGACAAATGCAGTAATTGTATGTATAAGTAGATAAATAAATTGATTGTAATTCGAAGTAAGGTTATATGTAAATGAACTCGAATTGTGCACATGATTTTAATCACACCGTCTTCATCTACAACATACCTACATTGTTCTGATATAATTTAAGCGGGAAATTAACACCGATAAGGGCTTATGGCTTAGCTTGTTAAGCTATTTGTCATATTTGTTGTATTTGTAGTATTGTATACTTTAAGTCCTTAAATCTTCATAAATTCGGGGATCACAGAATTTCATTTCCAACCACAATTTATTGCTATTTATGAATCAATATTTCTGTCTTGAAAAATACGGTAGTAGGATTTTCGTCATTAATCAGTTCGGAGTATATAAGTTTCCTATGGTTATCTGCCCTATGGTATGTAGATTAAATTAGTCTGTAAAATATTTTATTTTATTTATATAAAATCGTGGTATATGATACCGATAAATTTTGCATAATGAAAATACGAACAGAACAATATCACAAGGTATTTCAACCAATTTCGGAAGTTGATAGGCCTAATAGAAATCATTTTAGTATGGAATATTTTTGATTATATTAAACTACTGAATATTGCATTAGCTGTGAATATTAGCTTCGAACTTATGTGACTGCTGCCTATGAATATTTCAGTGTAATACATACGGCTCTCCAAAATATCGATTTCTGCTTCTTTAAATAGTCGGTTCTTTACTATAAGCATCGCCTTACTCTTTGTTGCTTCGAATCTATGTAGGCTGGTAAAAATTAAATTAAATTCTCATTAATATCAGGTTTCATGGACGTATAATGCGGGATATTTTGTAATTCAAATTAGTACTCTATGTAGTTCGGATTTGAAATAAGTTGGTGAAAATAGAATCCGGTGAGAGGTAGTAAAACCAATTAATGAACTACCGTTGCGAATATGGCAATCTCACCACACTGTACAGTATAAGACGAGCACTGCCAGCGCATGATGATATGATCAGACAAATCAATCAATCAAAAAATAAGTCAATTGAACAGTAAAATCCCTTGCATTTCCCTGTCCGCAACAACAAAGTACATTTAAACCAATACTAAAATATTACAAAATTTGAAGTGGACAGCATGCAAAATGGGAGAAGGGACACAAAAAAGTGTATGTAACCTGGTTTCCTGTAAAATGTGGGTGGCATTGGACACATTCTTTCGTAACTACAAAAAGATATCCGTTCTCCCGTATGATATACACGTGAGTAAGAAGAATGTTACGCTTGTATTAGAGTCAACAAGTGCGACGAAAATGAGATCTGTAACCCAATTCGCGCTTCCTCTGATTCTCTGCGTTCTGTGCGGAACAATTCTTATATGGACTTTCTCTGGCAAATACGATTTAAGAGACGAGGACGATACAACAAGCCAGACGTTGCGTACCTTGATCCTCCTCATGTTTTTTCTATTTCCCACGCCATTTGTAGGCATGGGTTTCACAATTGCAATTACCCCGAAAGTGATCCCAGTTCTTATTAATTTAATCGTGAAATTCGAATATAAATTGTCTGGTAATTTGAAAATGTATGGTCATATTATTCTAAATTATTAACTGATATTAATTTTATGCTGCAGAACTTGGGGGCTTTTCAGGTATGAAAAGTCGGCGAAAAACATCAAGTCCACAGCTGGCACTACTGATTAAGATTCTTACCTACATATTGCTCTTAATACCATATATGGTCATTCCAACACTAACAATATTGAATCTGGATCCATTGTTCTTGTTGATGAATACCACCATATGTGAAGCTTGCACGGTTTTCAAGTTTTGTAGTCTCTTACTGCGGACCGGCGTATGCGTCTGTGCCACGTCGGAAGTGGCAAAATGGACGATAGGATTCCTTGTGATAGGACTTATAGTTGTTTGCTCCAGCAGTCAGTCAATGTTTGAGCTTGTGGCACAATTCGAATGTTTTGATAAACAACACTTTAGGAATCGACATAATCGATTACTTCAATGCGTTGCATTATATTGTGAATTGCAATTGTGGCTTCAATATATTAACCAAAATGTTTGCTACTTTGGCGTACCACCACTCGTATTTTGCGGAGTTGCAACAATGATACTGGCAACATATACAACCCTAAGAGCATTCACAATTCTGCCCATATTAATATACATGGTCGCTCCAATTGTAGCTTTGGGTGCAACAATATTTTTGGTGACTCTTCTTCCTATGGCAGGCAAGTCATTTGAGATGACGAATCATTTTCTGCAAGCGGCTAAGCGCAGATGTACGGGAAAGTATGATAAAAGGCTAACAGGAAGTTTAAGGCCATTTTGGAATTAGATGTGGTACATTTGGGACAATCTCCAATAAGTGGACGCTAGCCGTTGCGTCATTCATTCCGAGTAATCTTGCATCCCTTCTTGTCACATTTTGAATGGGATGTCAACTAAGTTACATACTTCTTGAAGAGGCAAAATGAATCAGCAATCGCAACGTTACCATTACAATGCAAAATGAATTGAGGTTTAAATATTTATGTATATAAGTTTATAAATACATTAATAAGTATCTCACCAATATTCGCCACTTACCAATATTCTAAAAAATTTTGTTGCAAATCACATAGGAACAAATTATTTTAAAAATATTAAACTAATTTCACAAAGCCGTCTGCATATGCCGACTACTGTTATTGCCACACTTTCCCCCATATCGTGAAACGGTGTTGCGACATACTATCAAAATATCCGAAATGCCCGGCCTCAGGTTACCGCTACCTTCCCGTTAAGATGATGATTATGACCCCATAAGGACAAAATGATAAACCATTGATGATGATGATGATGACGATGCAAGTGCTGGAGGATGTTGCTGGGAGGCGGCGATAATGAATAAGCCTGGAGGAGGACAACCAGTTCTTCTTCCAAGGTCCGCTTTATTAGAAACACACTAACAACTACATATAGAAATAAATGTAGGTTACCAATAAATTTGCCTTACTACTCAAACTACTTTTTTCTATTTTTTCCCATTTGTAGAGGGTCCTATGGGGTCCCCTTGACAGATAGAATAATCCGGTAAACGGCATTATGACCATCCCAAAAAAGTAGGGATAGGGTACGCTTACAGTTTTTCGATATTTCGAAAACTATTTGAATTATCCCCGTTGCCGCTCTATTTCAATCTGTCGACACTAAATATTTTTTCAATGATCTGGGTGAATGATCAGTATAAACGGTTCACAGGGTCACATGCAGAGTTTGATTTACACAACAAATTCTTGAACCTTTTTTTTGAAATAAAACTTTCCTTAGGCGGGAAGAATTAAAATATCATATTTCATGTCGTCTCGATTTCGCTGGAGAAAGTACCTCGCGTTAATAAATTTACGTTTACATAATCAGACTATTTAAAATGCAAGTTGGTTTGTGTACACGATCCGAAACAAAATCAAATAATTCCTTCATTTTAATAAATAAATAAATGACGTATGCAAATCCTCATTATTCGTGATACAAAGACCTTCAGGCAGTGTTGATATACATATGTAACTCGAGCCAGGTGAATAATACTTTAAGGATCAGCCGTCTATCTTACTAAATTCGAAAACTGGTGGGGGATGTATATTTGGGTAGCTCCATGGAACCGATTTAGATGTCATTATAACCAATGACACCTTACTTCAACTAAATATGAAAACCGGTGTGGGTCACCCAATAGGGTCTTGCCAGTTCAAAAATTTTGAAATTTTACTTTATAATATTTCATTAGGGGGACATTAATCACGTTCATGTAAAATTTCAGCATTCTACGATAATTTTGATATTTGAGTGCATAATACCAAAACCACTATTTTTCCCCCACCGATAACTGGGCTCATCTTCGAACTTGACCGTACTTTCACACAACAAATATGTCTACAAAATTTCAAACCAGATCGGATAAGTTTGAAGAGAGTTATCGATAGACAGACGGGCGGACATGAAGGTTCCATAAGACTTGACTCTGGCTAGAAACAAAATTTCAGGATTAAGAGTTGCAAACAAGCTTTGTTTAATTTATCCTTTGTGCTCGCTCTGGCGTGAATCTAGTTCAGTGCTAAATTATACCAAGTCAAATATTTGCACATAAAAATATTATTATTAAAAGGCCCCTTCCGTGTAATTCTGTGAATTTGGGTTCAACTTTGGTACCATAAAAATGATACACCCCAAAGTTACTTAATTTTTATGCGCGTTACAAAAGTTAGAACCTGCAAGACATTTTCTGTCCCGATCGTCATATCCACATGCGTGACCCTCTCTCAAATTGCAACCCACGCCATCCTTGGAGTCATATCGTGCTAGGGAAGCAACACATTGACAGAGTGAGTGTGGCTGGCCTTGGTTTCATGATTTGCTAATGTAGTTTACATAAACTTTATGAATTTTTTATTCATTCCTCTTTCCGCCCTGTTTTCCACAGGGTTGCCCACCGTTATTCTATGTAGCATTAATTTAATGTTTGCACGACTTGTGGCGCAACACCATATACCGTTGATCAAAATCTTTAGTTAAATGAGCATTTATTCAAAACCGTGAAACAAGTTTACGCATGGATAAATAATCACCCCATTCGTTCGCGTATACCAGATGTAACAATTCTTTAGCAGTTGGGTTGTAAAATTTACAGTAATCATTTCGACTAATATCTTGTACAATGTTTCAAAAAAATATTGTGCTAATCCTTGTATTTGCCGCAGTGATTCATACGAGTGTCGCGTATTGGATGCAACTGTCGCAGGAAGTAAGATTAAGCTACCTTATCTCCAATATTTCAGTGTGCCTTGAGTGTACCTGGCACTACTATCAGTTTGGAAAGGTCAATAGTATAGTGGATCTTCAAGGGGGAGTTCACACATCTTTGGCTTCTACAGGTATTTCTTGGCTACTCTACGATGAATGGCCGTCCACTGCGACTCAGAAGGCAAATAACAAATCAAATGTATCCACCGAATTTCGAAA